CCTCTGCTATTTTTCTGATCAGAACCTCAAGAACCGATCGGTTTTGTAATTATAAACACACTAAGGACATCTACAAAACAGCATTCCTGTCGTTCAAACGGATGTCAAAGTGAACTTAATGCAATTTGACACGCATTTGAAGTTGTGATCCAAAAAGAGGAGCACGGCTAATGCCTAATTAGCATCGTTAAATAATAAAGCAACTCGGGCTAATAATTATTGCATGTTCCCATTCTACCACTTGCACTGACAATTAACCTTCCTCAACTGGTGATTCACAGTTTGAGTAAATCCTGTTATCAGCAAATATAACACATTGCACACTTGCGAGCACGTTTCAAACACCACTCAAGGAAATCTAGGCGGTGTTTACGGTTTGGAATGCGGAGCAACAGAACAAACAGCAGATATCCACTTTCAGTAAACACCACCCGTCCTCTCATACAGTGTCTTCAGTGGCTTAGAGGGGGTGGGGATGAACTTTAGGTGCTTGCTGTGAATGTCATCGAGCTACTTGTGTTCACGAGGGCTTAATGTTGCCGTGACAGGCTCTTAAAACACGCAACACGCTCCTAATGTTTTAGTCCAGTTCTGCTTCAGGGTCTGGTTTCATCTGTTGTTTTTATAGGAAGAAACTAAAAGTTTCAGCGCCTAAATACAGTTGAAGGGCGGTTAAGGGACACGTCTCAGCTACGAATGCTGTGATTTTAGATCAGTGGAGACAAAATGAAGGTGAAAAGACTTTGGATTCTCCTAAAATCTTTCTCCCTCAACCCAATTTGCGGGTGCTTGGCTTGTTGCCTGCTCACACTGCGCGGACGGCCTTGCCACTGTTGCCATGGGGATGTGTGGACCTGCACAGACCTTGAAGGCAGAGTGGCCTGATGGTGAGGTGGGGGTTATCATCATCAGCAGACCACTCTGGGCCACCGTCCAGAGGCCTGGGTGCAGGAGAAGCTGCGACGCAGTGGATGCACCCCCTGATCCCTGCAGGCACACTCTCCCCCGGGGTGGGATGTTGCCTCGGTTTCGAACTCTACGGAGAATCTGACATGGTGCTCAGTAGCACGGGGCTCCGGTCTGTCCGTTGGGGGTCGGCTGCCTGACTCCCATAAGCCTGGGACAGACGGGGTGGGCTCGAGTGGGAAGGGGCCAGGAGAGGCGAGCTGGACTGCAGCCCAGCGCGGTGACTGCCTGTCTGCTCAGGCGCTGGGCCACGCTGCCACTCCTCCCTGGGCTCGTGCCCCTGCACTTGGATTTCAAAGGGATGTGATGGGGTGGGGGGGGGGGGGGTGACTGGCTTTCCTTCTCCATCGCAGGATCCCTTCCCCACTAAGAGCTTCTCCAAAACCCCCAATCTTCCTCCCAACCCCCCAAATGCCCCTCCGACAGCTTTTCTGTTGAACCCTCTCACACTGTGCCATTCCCACCACTGCTTCCTCACATTTCGGAGAAGAAGGGGGGAGGTTGTGCTGCTACACTGCACCCATCTGCCCCATGTCTTTCCATGCTGTGGACCATGATGCTGCAGCATGGCTCTCTGGGTGCTGTAAAGACCTTGGCAAGTAAGTAGACCGCTTCAAGCAACCTTTTCCTTTGTGCTCTCCCAACCACATGAGAATGATGAACACCACCTGATTGACAGATTCATAATAAAAAGTATTCCACATTCAAGGAGTGATTTAGACTGAGTTGTTACTTTAAATCTTCTCACTGTGCGTTTTAGTTGTGCCTGCTGAACGACGAGCCATCTGTGAAAGATCTGAGTCAGACGTGGTGCCATGGTGTCTGAGCGGCCACCAACTACTGGCCCATCATCAGTGAGCATCCTCCCATACTGAAATCTGACAGGCTGCGTTTCAGCTGGCTGAGGGCTCCTCTCCCTCTCCCTGTCTAGGTTGCTCTCTTCATCGCTCTCTGCGTGGCATTTCTCTGGCATGTCCTCCAGTGACAATCTTCCCCTCCTGGTCTCAGCATTCCCGTGGCCCGCCTCCCTGCCTGGGCAGAGCGTAGTAAAAAAAAAAAGCTTGTCCTGAGCTACAACTCCAGCCCACAACACATTCCTCTAACCACTGACCAGTCCCCACGGCAACCAGGAGAGAGGTGAGGGAGGAGAAGAGGGGGTTTGGTGGTGTTTTTTACTTTGTAGGGTGAAGTCAACAGTCTTGAAGTACAAAACCCTCCTAAAAGAATGTGAACTATTTAACATTTTCTTAAACATTTACTTTCTTTAAACTTTTACTGAGAAGAATCTGATTGTATTTCAGGGATTTCAGTGGGACTTTGCTGCTTTTTCCACTCATTTCTGGTCCAGTACCTGAACATTTCCAGAGGAATATTTTTTGTTCTGTAATCCACTCAAAGGAAGAAGACAGTTTAACAAAAAACTTAATCTAAAATGGATCTTTAGCCACTTTGTTACCAACAATCAGTCACAAAACTTGTTCCCATTTTTTTTGGTTGACTCTATGAAAAATATTCCAGTTTACCACCTAAAATAGTATTTTAGCAGCAACAATGTGATTCCCATCAGCTGATGATAAACTGAAGGATGATGATGAGTCTCTCATGTCAGGTCTTTGGTGGATTATTTTTCTGGTTTTAAAGACAAGACTTTCAGAAACATTACATCTGTTGCATTTTCTTCATGTCTGACACTCTTTTTGTTCTCCCCTTGTAAGCAGCCATTCACTGAAAACTTTCAAATACTTTAGACCAGGGGTCTGCGACCTTTATGATCAAAAGAGCCATTTCTGCCCCTTCGTTCACTAAATTAAACGCGTCCAGAGCCGCAAAATTCGATACAGGTGTCATTATCAACTGGTGGCCCATGGGCCAAAGTAAGTTTGTTAAAGTGGGCTTTTCTGGCCAGTAGGCGTGAAACTATAAAACTAAAAACATCCACTGATTGTTAACATTTATTGACATTTTTACATTTTGAGACAAAATAATAGACTGGATTCCATCCATCCATCCATTATCTTTACTCGCTTCTTCCTCTTCGGTTTGCAGGGGGTCACTGGTGCCCATATTCAGGTCACAAGTCCATAAGACTGGATTCTTTAAAGATTATATATTTATATACATATTATTTTTTTTGTCTATTTTTTTTTAACTAAAACAATGAACTACTGTGCAGGTGTGTGTGATTTTTTTTTTTTTAAATTGTGGAGACATTGCGTATCCTACTTTGAAGAAATAAAGCATAAAGTTAAAGGGAGTATAATTTACTCTGTGTATTTGTACTAGTATCCACATATTTGCAAAGTAAATTACAGGAAAACTGCAAACTAGTCATGTTTTGTGGTGGGTATAACATCCTTTAGAATTCAATTTTATGGTAGTTTTGGCTTGAAAGAGCCGCTTGCATGCGAAGGGACCAAAGAGCCGCATGTGGCTCCAGAGCCGCAGGTTGCAGACCCCTGCTTTAGACCACTTTAAAAGGTTACAAGACAATTTGTTTCCCTATAGAAGAAACACAAAGAAATTAGTTAAAAACGTTGAATCTGACGATTAGATTTAGATGACAGAGATCCCCTCCAGAATGACTGATGCTCTTCAGCACGTTCTCTCCTCCATGTTTGCAGGGCCGTGATGGGACGCACATCAAACTCTGTCAGTCCAAAAGCTGTTTCTGGACAGCTCAAGTAGCGTCAGGACAGGAGCCGGACGGTTCCCTCTCCTCCTCCCTCCTGCTTGTCCCTCAAGCAGAGCCAGACGCTGTGTTTACTCTCCTAATTACAGGGGAGGGGCCGGCTGACAGGCGAGCCATCACAGATTCCCCGCAGGCCTGGGGCTGGGAACGCTACAAACACCCGCCGCTGTCTCCCAAATGTGACGGCGATGTCCAACTGTCAAGGGGGAGCCTTTACTGGCAAAACCCAAGGGCCCAAAAGAGAGATATTAAGGATGTGAGAGGAACTGGCAGAGTTGGCACTGACAGGGGGTGAAATATTGAAGTAGGGAGTTGGGGGCATCAGCAAAGTGTCATTCAAAGCAGAGTGGGGTTTAAACAGGACACATGATTTCTCTTATCAAGTTACACAGAGTAGACCTCATATACAAAACATTGAAGTGTTTTTAAATTTAAAAAATGCAGATTTTTTAGATAATTTTTGACTCCCTCTGGATGCTTTCTCGTGCACGCAGCCCACAAACACCTTTTCTTACGTGTTTGTCTTCTTTTGGTGGTTTTGTTTTGACTTTTTGCTTGAAAGTGTCGATTCTCTTTCTTTTTGTGAAAGAGTCAAAGTTGAACTACCGCATAATGTAATCTAAGTTAAGTGTATTTTTTTGTTTTGTTTTGTTTTATTCGTGGAATAGCTACAAAAGTGAGTGACAGGTTGTCTTTAAATCCAGCTTTAAAGAAAGGGAGCTTCAGGTTTGGCTTTTAATAAATTTAGGAGGGAAACATTAGCAATTTCTTAATTATTGCATGTTTTATTCTCTAAAATATGAGCTGATATAAAATAAACCTTAATGATGTATAGTTTTGCACACTAACCCTCCTTTGAGGGAAATCTAAGCCACTAGGGGCTAAAATGCTTCAGTACAGCTGGTTCTGCGGCTGACCTCATATATTCAAGTCAAATGAACAGAACGGTTCAGAAATGGAGGCTACAATGATCCAAACTCAGCTGCGTTTAACCCCAACACGCCCTGCAGGCAACACACACCTCACTCCCGAGAGGCAAGACAAGAAAACCATTTGATAAATGGTGAATCCTCATTTTATGTGCGAGTGCTGTGACCACTTCTAAAATTTATTATGGGGATTACACACAAAATCACACAATGCTACATTTTCAAATGTGCTATGAATGCCTGCAAGAATCCAATTCAAATCCCAGGTTACCAAATAAGCCTGAACAAATCCCCCTGCATTGAGTTCTGCCTCCTTTGAAGACTCGAGAGGTCCGGTCTGCAGGGCAGATTTTACCAAACCGTGCAGACACCGCAGCACAGGAGACGAAGCAAAGATCGGACAACAATGACAACAAAGCCGGTTTAATCAGAATATGAAGAAATGTGACAACAGATTACTACGGCGTCATGTTTAGGCGGTTACACAAAAACAAATCAGTCTTTGTGAGTTGCAAAATGTTTGATTTTAGACTGTGCGGTCTCTGCAGACAGGCGTCCTCGCCTCGTTGCCGTCAGCTCTCGGCACATCTTGACCTTGACTCCTCAATCTGAAGGCGAATGTGTTTAACTGCATCTGTTTGTTTGTTGGCAAACTCCTGCGTAAACAAAAAAAAACAAACAACACAAACAATTACGGCACTAATTAAAAAGGCGTGTCATGTTAACAGAAGGAACAAGCTTGGCAAACACACATATGGAGGCTCATAAATCACTCAAGCAGGACTCCTTTTCCAAATAAAACACTTAAAAACTAAAAATCAGCTGCGTTGATAACAAACCATTTGTTGATGAAACCTTAAAGCAAAATTAAACGTTTAAATTGAAATATAAATTAAACTGAAATGACCTCTGAGGTCACTTTTATGGCACTTAAAGGTTTAACTCCTTGATAAAAGTTCTCTGCTGAAATGTGTGTATCAATGAAACATGGAGGGCTAATTTTAAATTCCTCCAAGAACCAAATATCACCAAAAATCTGCAGCACTCATTGTATGGATGAGTAAAAATAATTACAAAATTAAAAAAAATAAAATGCACTTTCTTTTTTTCTTTCTTTTTTTTTTGCTTAATGCAGGAATTAAAAATAAGAAATTTAAAAGTTTTATTCTACATTAAATCAAATGATTTTTCATCCAAAATGATCTAAATATTAATATTAGCTGATTATTATGTTTTATATTAGTATACAATGCATTGTTTTAACTGAACATAATTAAAAGTGAACCTAAAGCTAAATTAGATTTATGATTTAGACTTTCTATTATGGATTGATGCTATATAAACAATTAAATTGTTGTTTGTTTGTTTTTTCATTTTGATTTAATATCACCTTTTCAAATTGATGATAAATCAATAAACTGAAGAAAAGGAGTAGTTAAAATGTCATTTAAGTTGTGAACTGAGAAAATCCATGAAGAGGAAAAATACTGAACATTTAACTTAGATTTTAAATGAGTCAGATTAATTTTTACAAGTTTATTGTTTCTGTTTCCAAACAGCACATGAAATTATTCCATAATGTGAGTCTTGCCTGAATAGAAGGAGGCTGATTATTCTCTGAACGCGCTCCTTCTTCTTTTTATTTCCTTTGAAGACTATCAAACAGGGGTCGAACATGCTGGCCTGTGCATGAAAAGAAAAGTGGTGGAAATCCCAGGTTTGGAGCAGCCCCCACCCACCCCCACCCACAGGTTCGCCTTCAGTCAGAGGCGCCCGAGGCATCTCTCCTTCTTCCTTTAAACGTCCTTTTTAAGACAGTAGTCCCCGCGGAGGGCAGAGCTTTCCTCTTTAATAAATTATTTAGACATTTAAACGGTGTGATCCTGCAGATAGCAGCATCACGCGCCATGTTTCTCCACGCTGCAGCCCGCAAGTCCCGCATTAGGATCCACGAGCATGCAGCTGCTAAAAGAAGCCTGCAGGCATTTAATAAAAAATAAATAAATAAATAAATTTAAAAAGTGTTTTCGTCGCAAACTCTTTGTTGTAATGTTACTTTTAGAGTATATTAGTTTATGTTTGCAGAGCTGACTTTTGGATGCAAAAAAAATAAATAAATAAACCAAACAAAAATCATCATTTACTCTGGTCTTGTTCTTTGCAATGAAATGATTTATTCAGGATTATGTGATAGTTTGTGCTGAAAATAAATAATAAAATAAAACAGATAATCAAACAATACCTGATGCGTTATCTCCCAGAAAACTTTCCTCTGCTGACATCTGGTTCAGAATCCGAATTCACGCGCGTGGAAATCTGTCAAAAGAGACGGAACAAACTTTATGGGGGGTGTCAGTTTTCCTCCCAGTCCAGCAGCAGCAGCAGCACCACCTCTGACTGGCCTTCCCACACAGACAAGCCCCCATGGCCTGCCTGTGTTTATAAATCTAAATCAATATTCAAATCTGTCTGAAGGGAGCGAGCTGCGTGTCAGAGAGAGGGAGGGAGGGAGAGAGAGTGCGTGTGCGTGTGTGTGGAGGTGTTCCACAAAGCCTCTTAAGATGATATATTTACCAAACCGTGGCAACAATCCTGCAGCACAGTTCAAAAATAAAGTGACGCAAATCTTCATTATTATTATTATTATTATTATTATTATTATTATTATGAGGAAGAGGCCTACCTTCATAAAAAAATTGCTCCTTGTCTTGATGAAACAGGTTGCTCTATTTTCAATATTTATTATTAATAATATTATTGTCACCCCCCTCCACCCCCCTCCTCCCCCCAGCGCCCCGGTGTCTCCGCACCTGTAGACCCTCAGAGCTGCTGCAGAGCTGTTGCCTAAGCAGAGAGGACAATATTATTAAGAAAATCCCCCCCCCCCCCCACTCCCTCATTTCCCCCCCTCAGCGACGCGCACGTGAGAGGCCGGAGCTTCTTCTTTAGATGACTCCCCCTTTAAACTGAAGATGTTCTTCTCTGTCTGTTTGATTATTCTAAGTGATCAAACTCGCATTTTATGGTTAATTCATGCTTCTGTCTAAAGTAAAAGCACGACTAAAGCACCCTTTCTTGATTCAAACTAGCCTTCTCATCATCATCATCATCATCATCCAGCAGTGTGGATGTGTCCTCCGCGCCCCCCCTCTCTGCTGGGACCAGGATGCTGTCAGTCGCCCTCTCGCTGCCATTGGCTGAGGACTGTGCGTCAAAAAAAGTAGCTGGAGACATTTGTTCCCCTGGAAGAGGGGGGGATAAACCCTCCCCACCACAGTGAGAGACGGAGACAGAGAAGGACCTCAGCTCAGCTCTGTGGCTCCCATTGGCTGGAGGTTCGTACAAAACCGGAGTCAAACCACTTCAGTGTGAACACATAGTCCTGAAGGCAGCAGAACCCGCCGCTGGAGAACCGGTCCTGGTGCAGCTTTTTGTGGTGAACTTTTAATCTGCGCTGCTCCGACACTGGATCTGCTGGTTCTGTTGACTGGTTTGAATCAAAAGGACGAGGTTTATTTCAAGAGTTTGAATATTTCATCTGAAGGGAAACAAGCAGGGAAAAGAACTTTTTACACCTCAATGCCAAGGTAAGTCTACTATTATTATTATTATTATTATTATTATTATTATTATTATTATTATTATTATTAATAATAATGTGGTGTCTCTTCTTCAAAACGGGAGACTTTAAATAAAAATCCACTGTGACTGAGTAGTGTTTGCAAAATATGTTTGGTGATATTTTGTAGTTTTAAAAGGTGAGATGACACAAATCCAAATACTTTTCGGTGACAATGCGCAAAAAGCGCAGCTCCTCCGACATTTTCGATCAAACAAGACTAAACTCATTTCTGATTAAAAATAAAAATAAAAAGACATCGAAGTCACGAGCTGAAACGTTTCCCATGTTCTGCGGGATTTTTATTCTATAAATAAATTATTTCTGCAGGTTAAATTGGACCGATTTCACGCTCTCATTGAGTGAAGTGAAGGCGCGAAGTCCAGTGAGGGCGCAAATTCAAAGGAAAAATGCACCTTTTACTCTATATGATGGGCCTTTCCCCTCGACTTAATAATAATAATAATAATAATAATAATAATAATAATAATAATAATAATAATAATAATAATAATAATAATAATAATAATAATAATGCAACTAAGCCTAAATTCAGGAGGTGAAAGATGTTCCATGAAGATCACATTAAAACATTCACTCTTCCGGGGCCTGCAGTGCTCACCTCTGCAAGATGTAAATAATTTAGAAGCTGTAATGTTTAATCTATTTATTCAGCTCTACTAAACAAACATGGTTCATTTTTTTATTATGTTTATTTTAAAATCTTTATTTTATCAGGAAATAAATCCAATGATTATTATTAGTCAGAATCCTTTGAAGAAATAATCAAAATCCAGCAGCTCAGGTGCCACTTAAATGACTCCATTAATTCATCAACAGTGAATCATTTGTCTTAATTAACTGCGCACATGGTGATTATTATTATTATTATTATTGAGCGTGCGTGTGTGTGTATGTGTGAGCAACTGGTTGACGGGTGTGTTTTAAGTGACAGATTGGGATGAGGGGGTTAGAACCGTTGGGTGTTCATGGAGGGAAAAAGGCAACTAATCAAGAGGCGCGGTGGGGACAGCGCGTGCATGAGGGTCACTGAAGTTGAAGGAGATCAGCGCCCAACCTCCCTTTTCTGCTTCGCAATCATTCCGCTGGATTACCGCCTGAAATCACCTCAGATTAAAAGCAAAACTCGTTTAATTCGTTGCGCTTTTGTTTTGAAAAGCAACATGAACGAGTTTTACGAATCGGAACTGAGCTCCACTTCTGCAGGAAAACGGTTTTAATCCCGTTTTGAAGCGACTTGCTGCAGGTCCAATAACGCTTGTGCGTTTGTTTTTGTTCATTGGAGGGGGTGAGGGGGGGGGGGGGGGGCTGAGACGAGGACAGCTGGAGACGTGCTTGATGCTTCTTGAGAGGCGATGTGCGTCTTTGGAGAGGGTTCATTTCCTCCCAACGCAGTGTAAACTGAGCTAATATGTCCCTCTTCATGTTTTATTATTTATTTATGAACAGGTGCCTGGAGTGACACGGAGCTCGTGGAGATCAGAGGACACCTCGGGGACCAACACCACTTTTCAAAATTTTCTCCAACTTCGGCCCTCAACCAAACATTAGCATGATGTCTTATCTAAAGCAACCACCTTACACGGTCAACGGCCTGAGCTTAACCACTTCCGGGATGGATCTTCTGCATCCATCAGTGGGTTATCCAGGTGAGTTTGAACAGAAACAAATAAACAAACAAGTAAATAAACAGTGATGCTCTTTCTGTTCCATGGAGAAGCAACAACTGCATTTTCATTTTCTAAACCTCCCCCCAAAACTACTGAATTATGACAGACAAAATATATTTCATATCGGTTTTTTTACTTTACAAATTAGTTATTTTACCAGCAAAAGCAGAAAAACAATACATTTAACTATTCTCCTTATTTTATGTTTAAAATTTAGATGAACTGTGACGACTGTGTAAATTGAAATTAATTTCTATAATCTTTTAAAACGCTAAACTAAAGTAGGTCAATGTGGCACCGGCGTTCCAGATCGCAGATTTGCGTAATTGCGCAAATAAATAAACAAAAAAATTAATAAATAACACAACTTGACTTATTCGTTTCTGTTAGTCACACATTTACATAATCTTTGTAGCTACTTGTAAAATGTAATTAGCATTTTATAATTAGACATGTTCTCTACTTGCAGCCACGCCACGGAAGCAGAGACGAGAAAGGACTACTTTTACGCGCGCACAACTCGACGTTTTGGAGGCGTTGTTCGCCAAAACGAGATATCCGGATATATTCATGCGCGAGGAAGTGGCGCTGAAGATTAATCTACCTGAATCCAGAGTACAGGTGGGTTTGGAGAATAATTAACTATCAACTATTTAATAAATTTAAAAAATTCAAATAAAAAAAAGTTTTGGTTTTTTTTTGGTTTGGTTTTGCTTAAAAAAAAAAAAAAAATCCCAAAAATATCTAGAAGCTCTGACAAGTTGTTCAATCAGACAAATATTTTTAAATGTACAAAATTAAATTGTAAACAAACTCTAGATTAATTAAAATTAATTCGATCTTTTAATTCTAATAAACATTTTTTTTCAATAAATCATAAAACTGAATTTATAGCAAACAGTGAAAGTAAAGTAAATCATCCAATTATTATAATAAATATGGGGTTGGATTTAAAACAATTAAAAAGTTTCTTGTAAACAAATTTAAAATAAAAATATTGTATAGTGAATATAATTTATTTGACTTGTAAATGGGGAAAACAAATATTTATTGTACTTCTAATAATTGTCTGTGTTCTGTTCTTTGTTCTTCAGGTGTGGTTTAAGAACAGGCGGGCAAAGTGTCGCCAGCAGCAGCAACAGCAGCAGAACGGAGGCCAGAACAAAGTCCGCCCTCCCAAAAAGAAAAGTTCCCCCAGCAGAGAGGTGAGCTCTGAGAGCGGCGCCAGCGGCCAGTTTACGCCACCCACCAGCACCACCACGGTCCCCGCCATCTCCACCAGCACTGCCCCGGTGTCCATATGGAGCCCGGCGTCCATCTCTCCCCTCTCAGACCCGCTGTCTACCTCCTCCTCGTGCATGCAGAGGTCCTACCCCATGACCTACACCCAGGCCTCGGGCTACAGCCAGGGCTACGCCGGATCCACGTCCTATTTCGGGGGCATGGACTGCGGCTCCTACCTCACCCCCATGCACCACCAGCTGTCGGGCCCGGGCTCGACTCTCAGTCCGATGAGCACGAACGCGGTCACGAGCCATCTGAACCAGTCCCCGGCGTCCTTGTCCACCCAGGGCTACGGGGCGTCCGGCCTGGGCTTCAACTCCACGGCGGACTGCTTGGATTATAAGGACCAAGCTGCGTCCTGGAAGCTGAACTTCAATGCCGATTGCTTGGATTATAAGGATCAAACGTCCTCGTGGAAATTCCAGGTCCTGTGAACAGAACCATGCGCGCGCAAAAAAAAAAAAAAAACGAGACACACCGCATACACTCCCCCCCCCCCCCCCCCCCCCTTTCAATAAAACTGAACCAGACTGAGAGCGCACGGGACGCACCAAGGGGAGTTCTCGGGTTTTCTGTCCTCCTAAAGGAGATGTTTAATTTATTTTAGCACTGGCAAATAGATTTTTCACGTTCTTTCAACCTCATCCACGTCGGTGCGCGCCTCCATGCGTCAAAGTAAAATAAAAAAAATAAAAAATAAAAAATTAAATAAAAACACCTGTTGAGGAGGACTGAGACATGCCACGGAAACTGTCCTGGAGGGGAGACACGTGTGGACACGGATGCACTACTTTATTTAAGGAGACAAAAAGTGTTTATAACGAATCAATATGTAGTTTCTAAAGGACAATCAGTGTGAGACTTAAATAAATGGTCCATATGTGTGTTTTTTTATTATTATTATTTTATTTGTGCTAGCCTTTAAAGCTGTGATCTGTTGTGTTGTATACAGTTTGTGAGCCCATCTCGCGTCAGACTCTCTGCTGTGATTTTAATAGATTTTCATTTTTATTTTTATTTTTATTTTATTTCTTTGGACAACTAAAACATGATCTCTGAGTAAATGACCGCAACAGAGACGAGACTCTGCAGCTTTGCGGGCGCATGGTGGTGTTAATCTGCAGGGGTTAGGCCATGCTGGAAAAGACTCTCGGCTGCTGAGAGCTCTACAAATGCACCCCCACCCCCCCACCCCCTCCCTCATTGATCTCAGCACACGGTGATTGTGGATCCTGGCCTCGCCAGTTGAAAAGACACGAATAAAAAAAGGTTCCTCACTCTTCTCACCAAGAAACGATCTGTGTGTGCGTGTGTGCGTGTGAGGGGGCCTGCTTGGGGTGGGGTGGATGGGTAGCAAGGTGGGATTTCAGAAACCAAACATTTGGCAACGAATACATTCGTTGGAGCCTTGTTAGACCGCGTGCTTGGGTTAACGGTTGGCGCATGCGCAGTTTTGCTTTAATTAGGTCGCTAATTGCCGTCTAAGTGAGTCATAATTAGACCTGTCAGCTCTGATCCAGCTGTGTTTTCTCCATTAAGAAGCACTCCTTCCAACAGAAGCGTTGCCTATTTTCCATCTGTCCTGGAAGAAAAGAAAATCATTTCTATTTCACCTCCATCCAGTGCTGGTTTAAGTTTTCACTTAAGAACAGTCCGTTATAAAGAGCTGGTTTATTTGTCCAGACAGTGGAGGTTAAAGTTTCAGGGAAGCAGTGGTAACGCCCCCCCCCCCCCCCCCCCCCTCGGTTGCGCAACTAGGAGTGTCAGAAAAAAAAAAAAATCCGTGTTTCAAATATCAACAAACAAGGAAATTATACAATATTGTATTGCTATATTAGGTGTTTAAAGGAACAAAAATAAATAAATAAAATAGATATAATAAAACTGCGCGGATCATTTCATAAAGAAAGCCAACCAACAAATTATATGACACATTAAAACTTTAATAATATTTATTTTGTCTGATGAAGGTCTGCACTTGAAGCACATTCTGCTGAGGGATTGGGGGGGGGGGGGGTGTCCTTTCTTTTCATTTATTTATTTGTTGCTCTCGAGTCCAACTCTCAAGTTTCCGACTTTAAAGCCAGAGCGGGGATCTGTAATGAGTCGACATGGCTCTGCAGTGAGCTAATTGTTAGAAGTCCAACATTCAATTAGCATCCTTGACATTGCCAGTAATCTCTCTTTCATTGGAGGAGCGCACTAATTAAAAGCGTCGCCTGCAATAATCGACGCGTCAAACAGAGGAGACACTTTCATAACGGTCAGAAAAGAAACATTCCTGGAAAATGACTCATTTCACGACAAGCAAGGGTGTTTCAGGCTCGTGGGTGCACAAATATGCACCGTTGTGGCCATAAACAATGGAGCAATTGAACTTGGAGACAATGGGAGGCTGAATATTCATGAGGTGCGTCTGTTCTGTCAACAACTCCTTCAGCCAGACAAAAAGAAGAAGCTGAAAGTGTCTCAGACTGTTGGGTCACTTTCACATGTCAGCTGACAAACCTGCAGAAAATGTTATTGTTTTTACTCCAACATAATGAGAAAACTGCATGCAAAATGTTTGACTCATGCTGCAGGGGGGGGGGGGGGGGGGG